GAAAGAACGTTAGAGTGCTTATTTGCTTCGCTTGAATGAGATTGTGATAGTGTCTCCAAACCACAAAAATCTAAGATTCTCCCTTGCCCCAGCAAACTTTTGAAGGGGTCACAGCGGTGAAAGATAATCTCCTCATCAAAAGTTACATGAGTTGTCATCATTGTGGCATAAAAACCCTCATATTGATCAGTATTAGTAATTAGCATGTCATGGTTTGCTCGGATATATTAATGTGTAATTTGTACATGGACGTTCTTGTCTCAGCTGGTGTTGACCTTTCGCATCGTTTCAGCAGGCAGGAAGTAACTTACCAATACATTGAAAACCAACTATGCATATAAAAATTCTCATTAAGGCATTTGCTAAAGTTACAAAAATACAAACGATATAAAAAGGAAATAGTTATCAAGGTAACTCTTGTTTTTGACTGGAATTCCTCTGCATAGTGGCGCGTGACAAATCAGACTTCCGCTGCCATAAATAGACTTGGTGAATTTATCACCGGCAGAAAGTCCAGCCGAGTCCCGCCAGTCCCGGTGGGTACCCATACATTACCGTAAATCTTCTATTTAGTCCCCCTCCCACTTCTTACAGCCCCTCTTACTGCCACACTTTGTCGGTGAACTTCCTTTTTCCCTTGATTATTGGAAAGGATTTCAAAGCCCCCTACCCTGATCATAAACAAGAATAAAGTACAGATTTTCTGCTGCTCCTTTTTGACACGTGTTACAAACAGCAATTGCCATTAATCGCCACTCGATCGGCTTTTTTCCTCAAACTTTCCACCGAACAATAGGGCAAACTTTTATACGTAATATGGCGCGCAAAAAAGTAAAGTAGGTTTTGGTTATTATCAATCAAGACGTTTTTATGACATTCAATAAGAGCTTCCACTTGGTAACTTTGCGACATGCCACTCCCTTGAGGATGAATTCTTTGCTCCAAGGTTGCGCATGAGAAGACACGAATATGGATACAGATCAAGATAATAACACGTGGCCTCAAATGAGAAAACCCTACCCCCATGCAAAATAGGTCTTTTATTGATTCGGAGGAAGACGGCACAAACCCGAGGTATGAGAAACACATCGAAACACTTTCTCTGTTGCTCAGGGTTTTATCAGCATCATTGACTTTGTGCAGCATCCAGCTGTTGCAGTGAAAGTCCTGTAATGCTGAAGTTGTGCATTCTTTATTTTACCGTGTGAATACTTAGACACTGATACGAGGMTAAGCCTGATTAAAAGAGTCTGTAATCTAAAAACACAGTGGTAATTGGGAACTCGAAAACGGTCTTAACAGATTGCATATTAAACTTACAGAGCACTATCATTATTTSAGAAAAAGGAACTTTCAACTTTCCCATATAGGAACCGGCAAGTACTCTTCCCCCACAGGGCTCCTTAAAATGCTTGACATTGGGAGTCTGTATCACGAATTACTCATAAGCACAAATATAGATACTATATATATTCTCTACTGTAATTTTAATTTTTTCCCAACTTATAAAGGTTCATATTCAAAACCAAATTTTAGAAAATCTTTAAGAAGCAATCTAGCTGATTTTTTGTAACCAGGCCTGCATGACAAAACTCAAAACTTGTTAGCATTGAGCCCGTGCATATCTGCAATGCGGTGTCGCGCAAAAACATAAAGAGACTGTAGGGCCTCACATGATTCTGCGAAATAACTACATGGAATATGTAAATTTTCGCAATTAGAATTCACGAGCGAAAAAAAAAGGTGATAACTTCACATGTGAATGTACTACATGTGATGGTATATTCATGGGCAAAAGAGTAAAAAGCTTATAGACTTTTTAATATTCACGGGAATAACACTTTTCCTCACGGGGTAACGCTAACAAGTTGTGCATGTTCACTTCGCACTGATTGGCAAGTTTCCTCCAAGGGACTCAGCTAGATACCTGAATAACTCTATTATCTAATATCGAATTGTTAATTCATAAGAATACTTTTCATAATTAAGTAAACRAACATTTACATTGTTTTAGTTGCGTTTTCCCCTTTCGCAAGCATAAATGGGTTTCCCGTCCGGATAATTGCAGATATGATCGTTCCAATAAGGTGCACGGCTGTCATGAACATAAAGATGAACACAGTTCTCGTTGCCTACAGCATTGTTTGGTTCTCTTTTATCCCATTTTGAATATCGGCCTGACAAACTTGTACCATCTGTCCACCGGAAATCATCTGTGCTGACTATGAAAAGAAAGCAATTTCAGGTGATCAGTTTTATACCATCCACTAGAAAATTGTGTAAACCAAAGATCGACCCCTTTTTTTTCTGTCTGCTCTTCACTCCTTTCCTTTCTCACCCAACACTCCGGAAAAAGAAAACTATATTAAAAAGATTACATCCCTTACTTTTCGACAGTCCGATCCACAACATATCCGTTGAACTAGCATCAAATGACAACTTTGTCACATAGCTGTTCTCTTCCTCCGAATTGATCTTCACTAGGTAACCACCCATAGATATACAGGATCGACGAGCGTCGTCCCACTTTGCCGTACGGGTGGTGACAATACGATAACAGGAACTTGCACCCTCTGACCATCCAGATGAGCAAGGCTCTAAACGAGAAGGTACATGCAAACGTATCTCATCAGGAACAAGCAGGTAGGGGTTACGCTAGGATAGCTGACGGGGGTTTGCATTGCATTGCTCCCATAATTTTAAGATCATTATTGGAAAGGGTTTTAAAGCCCCCGCCCTGATCATGAACTAGAATAAAGCACGGACTAGTTGCTGCTCTTCTTTGACAGGTGTTACAAACAGCAATTGCCATTACATTCGACCGTCTTTTGTTCTCAAACTTTCAACCGAAGAATAGGGCAATCTTTTATACCTAATACGACGCGCGACAAAATTGTCGCTATAAAGTAGGTTTTGTAAATTCTCGCGCGCTTTCGCGCGCTGCTCTTCCCTTTTATTTGTTTTTGGGTCTTACTTGGTGTTGCAGGATGTTTAGCTTCAAGCTCATTTTTCTCGGCTATTGTTAGATTGTCTTCATGGCTCAGGTGACCTGCAACACCAAGAAAGGGCCATTTCTTTGATCACTAAAAGCGAAACGGAAAGAGCGCGCGCAAGTTGATGACACACGGGAGCAGTTAAGGCGAAATTTAAATTGCATCCGGTTACAAAAAATGGCCCTAACAGAAGTTGACATGACGCAATCGTTATTAAGAGGTTTCCCTCTCTACTTTATGTTCTCTTGGTTAATAATAATCAAGACCTTTATATGACATTAAAAAAGAGCCTGCACTTCGTAACTTTGCGACATGCCACTCCCTTGAGGATGAATCCTTTGTTTCGAGGTTGCTCATGAGAAGACACGAATATTGATACAGCTCGAGATATTCGTGGACTCAAACGAGAAAACCATACCCCCAAGCAAAATAGGTCTATTCACTGTGCTACATACGGTTCTATTGATCTTACTATATACAGTGAGCTCTGCTGAAGTAGATATTCTCCCGGCCTTATTGGATGCCACACAAGTATACCGTCCATCATGATTACTGTATCGAACATTCCATAAACGTAAAAATCCCTTCATAACTACATGTCTCCATGTAAT